ACAGAAGTATCCTGAATGTGACTTCCTAGAAATCCACACACATGCAGCAGCTGAGATGGGGCCGTTGGATACTCTCTTTAGGTATTTACTCTTGCTACTATTATTGGCCTCGCCTACGCGAGGTATAGGTAGTTGTTGTGTGTGTCTGTCATTACCCGAGACCGCGTAGGCGTAGTCGAGGGTAAAGCAGTCGTCCTGTCTGTGTGTTCGCTTTGACCTCCACTTTTGAGCTGACATTGCTTTCTTGTCTTGTCCTGGAGAGTCTTATAATCAACACTGGCTCTAGAAAAAGTTATTCTCCGTCTTGGGAATGCTTGATTTGTCTTTTCCGTGGTAAAAGAAGCTGGCAAAGTTGCCAAACGTAGTCGGCTCTCCTGCAGCTCTTTCGTAGTGAAAGCAAAAGAGCAACAGGGCAGATAAAACAATAAAGCAAAGCCTCATCTTTCATTAATATGAGAGAAATTGTTCCAAACGTCTTCGTTTTAAAGATATGATAGCCCAAACTTTCATACCTTGTGAGTTTAGACGAGGCTCTCTTCTCCTGAGGTAGCGGCCAGAGTCTTTTAACATTAGGGACTAGATAGCAGTTTGTATGCAACAAATAGAGCCTAACAAATGTATGCTAAACTGTTTAAAAGTCGAGAAAAACCAAAGCTTTCTTCGCCACATAGGGCCATGTGCCACCATTTACTGTGTGTGGGGGTGGAGCATGGCTTGATTGAGCCACACCTTCATTGCAGCCACACCTTTACATTGCTGCAGCTAGCTAGCAAATATGCTGGAGCTCTTTTTCTAAGAAAAACAAAAAATTCTCTGTCTGTCTCAAAAAATTCACTAAGTTTTAATAAACCTAGTACATGCTGAAGCTTCTTCTCTGTCTCAAAACTTTCACCAATTATTTTCTCTTAATTTATTGAAACTGTTACATACAGATTGTGTCGAGGGTATGCACTTTAGTGCTCTCGTTCATTCATTCATTCTGTACAACTGAAATTTGTTTTTATTAAACAATAACTTTAGCACAGCGTGTTCTAAGCTCCTAGATCTTTCTTTTTGACGTGGAAAAGTCTTTCTTAACTGTTTTGTGTTGCTCAAATACAAGTGCTAGGTACAGAAGCTTCAAAGTAAGAAAATCGAGTAGTTGGGCCAAGTTCCGTTGTGTTGGCACTTTAGAGATAGCTGGTAGCATTTTTCAGTAGATTAGAACATGGCCTTCAAAAATTATGAACAGATTTCTCTAAATCTTACTTGATGAAGA